TTTTAATATGTTTGGCTATGGGAGAACTGGCATTCAGGAATCTTGGGTGGATACCGATTGTTCAATGGCAACCCTTGAGGGGTTTTGTTATGTTGTGTGGCTGCTAAGTCTTAGCATGCGAATATTGTTTAGTTCGTTTCACATGCCTGACTAATACAGTATACATCATTTATGCACTCGGATTGTGTTGCTATTGTTTGAACAGTTTAATTTATCAGTTTTGAGAAGATAATAAACTATATTAGAAAATCGCCAGCTGGAGGTGAAAAGTTCAATATAAAGATGTAACACATTGATAGATGATATAATGTAGAAAGATTACAATCCAGAAGTCAACTGACTCAAATAATAGAGAGCCACTCACACTCGAGTGCTCTAGACTGCAACTAATAACACCCTAAGCACATGCTAAGGCCAGCTGCAACCTTGTCATCCTTAACATTGCAACAAGAGTGAATGAGCCACTCACACCCAAGTGCTCTAGACCGCAACTAATAACACCCTAAGCACATGCTAAGGCCAGCTGTAACCTTGTCATCCTTAACATTGCAACAAGAGTGAATGATTTGAATTAGTGAAGTGAAAATGTCAAAGAATTGTGATATTGTGTACTTGTATAGAAGGCATTTATGACTGATTTTGATTAATAACAGTATGCAAAGAAAATTGTTGTGTGGTCTTAAAATTCAAGATATTCGTGGGGAGGGGAGGGTGCATTTATTACTCAATTGGCAACTAATAACCATCAACAGACTAGACTACCAATTAAGGGGACAAGTCAACACGCCAATTGAGAAAAAGGTGACAAAAATTTAATTGCATCTTTTAGGGCATCTCCAATGGTAATAGCTATTACTAGCTATATGGTTAGCTGACGTGGATGTGAGAGATAAGAAAAATAACTATTTTACACTATTGGACCCACATACCTCTCTCACATGATCTTGGGCTACGTGAAATAGATAAGCTATTTGTTAGTAGCTAGTGACTACTCTCTCTCTTACTTTTTCCCTGTCCGTCATAATAGTTAGCCAAATAACTAACCATTGGAGACGCCCTTAGTAATCTATACTTATATTAAAATGTAGTAACATATTTACTAAATATAGTAGGTAGAAAAGTCAATCTTAATTAATGAATTTCTAATTATATTAAGTATTTTAATTATGTATTTTTTTCTTATTTCATAAAATCAGTTTAGTAAAAACAATTCCATAAAATCGGAGTCAAACTTAATTACTGCATTTATCATTTTATCAAGTATTTAATTTACGTTTTTTTTTTTTGTCTTATCTCATAACATAAACTTAGTGTAGTAAAAAACAATCTTTCTTATCTTTACATAAAAAAATCCTATAAAATCGTTGAAGTAAAAAAAAATCAAAAAATTGTAAACGCAAATTCAATCTTTTTAAGAATTTGTGTGTATTCAAAAGGTAAGAAGGATTTTTTTGGTGTGGAATTTTTGTTAAATGCAATTATAAATTATAATTATTTATACATGATGATAAGGTCGGTCAACATAGTTATCTCCTTCCCAAATGAAAACATATTTCACACGTTTTAGTTGTTTGAAATTTTTTTAAATGCAATATATTTCAAATTATAATGCGATAAATATCTTATCTGATTTGTTACTTCATATATTGATTTGATTTTACTTGACATTTATCTCTACATATAATTCAATAAACCAATTATAAATAAAAAATCTCCCAATACTGAATCAACGTGTTCCTCTCTTTCAACCTGCGAAAAAATAAAAAACAGACCAGTGTGTCATTTACTACAATGAATCAAGGATTTAGCTTAATCAAACAAGTTAATAGGAGGTCTTTAATAATTTTGTGTACAATGAGGTCTATAATAATATGTGATTGTTTCTTTGCCGAATACTATTTTATTGTACAATTTTTCTGCGTATTGTAAAACTTTTATTGAATATTGCATCTTATAATATAATATTTTCCAAATAAATATATCTCGTGCCTCGCACAACTCACGTACTATATATATCTCGTATATTTTTCTTTATTCGTTTATATAATTGTAAGGTTGGATAAATTACCTTAAAATTGTACACTCCGTGCATTGCACGAGCTCTGTACTAGTATCACTTCCTATTGCACGAGATCGGATTTGAGTACTAAGTAACTAATTATGTTAGTACTTAAGTAATTACTTATGTTAATACAATAATACCCCCACCTATCCCCGGGAAGCATGGCTAATTATTATATTCTTATACATTTCAATCACATATTTTTTTTTAAATATAAGTTATTCAATATATTAAAGTTAGGTCTTAAATATAAAGGCTTATTAACCCGTTCTTCACTCATGTTGTCTTAATTTAAGCCTTATCCATTAATTTTAAGAAAACAATAATATTGAATAAATAATTAAGTGATAAAGATAGCTAAATAATTTAAGCAATAAAAACAATGTTTTATCATAAATTCTTATGTGGAGAAGATTTTTTTTTTTTTTTTTT